AGCGCTTTAAGCAGGATCGTCATTAATCAATGACCAGGTTTTTCGAAACACCCTGTATACATTTTTAAAAAAATCTTAACATATGTAAAACAACAAAATAAAATATACGTGTTTAAGAGTTTTTCCGAAAAAACCCGGTTTTTAAATAAAACATTCTTTAATATTTGAGGGGTGGTTTGACCCCTTAGAATTCGAGTTTGGAAAAATCCCTTCTTATCGAACCTCTACACCCTAAAGTTAATCCGTTTTCCAAAAATCAGCTTTTTACGCCGAGCGCTTTAAGCAGGATCGTCATTAATCAATAACCAGATTTTTCGAAATACCCTTTATACATTTTTAAAAAATCTTAACATATGTAAAACAACAAAATAAAATATACGTGTTTAAGAGTTTTTCCGAAAAACCCGGTTTTTAAATAAAACATATTCTAATATTTGAGGGGGTGGTTTGACCCCCCTTAGGAATTCGAGTTTGGAAAAATCCTTCTTATCGAACCTCTACACCCTAAAGTCAATCCGTTTTTCAAAATCAGCTTTTTACGTCAAGCGCTTTAAACAGGATCGTCATTAATCAATGACCAGGTTTTTCGAAACACCCTGTATACATTTTTAAAAAATCTTAACATATGTAAAACAACAAAATAAAATATACGTGTTTAAGAGTTTTTCCGAAAAACCCGGTTTTTAAATAAAACATATTCTAATATTTGAGGGGTGGTTTGACCCCCTTAGAATTCGAGTTTGGAAAAATCCCTTCTTATCGAACCTCTACACCCTAAAGTTAATCCGTTTTCCAAAAATCAGCTTTTTACGCCAAGCGCTTTAAGCAGGATCGTCATTAATCAATAACCAGATTTTTCGAAATACCCTGTATACATTTTTAAAAAATCTTAACATATGTAAAACAACAAAATAAAATATACGTGTTTAAGAGTTTTTCCGAAAAACCCGGTTTTTAAATAAAAAATATTCTAATATTTGAGGGGTGGTTTGACCCCCTTAGAATTCGAGTTTGGAAAAATCCCTTCTTATCGAACCTCTACACCCTAAAGTCAATCCGTTTTTCAAAAATCAGCTTTTTACGTCAAGCGCTTTAAACAGGATCGTCATTAATCAATGACCAGGTTTTTCGAAACACCCTGTATACATTTTTAAAAAATCTTAACATATGTAAAACAACAAAATAAAATATACGTGTTTAAGAGTTTTTCCGAAAAACCCGGTTTTTAAATAAAACATATTCTAATATTTGAGGGGTGGTTTGACCCCCTTAGAATTCGAGTTTGGAAAAATCCCTTCTTATCGAACCTCTACACCCTAAAGTCAATCCGTTTTTCAAAAATCAGCTTTTTACGTCAAGCGCTTTAAGCAGGATCGTCATTAATCAATGACCAGGTTTTTCGAAACACCCTGTATACATTTTTAAAAAATCTTAACATATGTAAAACAACAAAATAAAATATACGTGTTTAAGAGTTTTTCCGAAAAACCCGGTTTTTAAATAAAACATATTCTAATATTTGAGGGGTGGTTTGACCCCTTAGAATTCGAGTGGAAAAATCCCTTCTTATCGAACCTCTACACCCTAAAGTTAATCCGTTTTCCAAAAATCAGCTTATTACGCCAAGCGCTTTAAGCAGGATCGTCATTAATCAATAACCAGATTTTTCGAAATACCCTGTATACATTTTTAAAAATCTTAACATATGTAAAACAACAAAAATAAAATATACGTGTTTAAGAGTTTTTCCGAAAAACCCGGTTTTTAAATAAAAAATATTCTAATATTTGAGGGGTGGTTTGACCCCCTTAGAATTCGAGTTTGGAAAAATCCCTTCTTATCGAACCTCTACACCCTAAAGTCAATCCGTTTTTCAAAAATCAGCTTTTTACGTCAAGCGCTTTAAGCAGGATCGTCATTAATCAATGACCAGATTTTTCGAAACACCCTGTATACATTTTTTAAAAATCTTAAAATATGTAAAAAAAGAAAATAAAATATACGTGTTTAAGCGTTTTTTCGGAAACTTGGCCGTTTTTTATATAAAAAATATTATAATATTCCACCCCCCTTTCTACCCCCTTAGGGGATGAATTTTAAAAAATCCTTTCTTATCTCACGTAAACATCATAAAAGGAACCCCTGTGCAAAATTTCAGCTTTCTAGGGTCAAGGGTTTGGTCTGTGCGTTGATGAGTCAGTGATGAATGAATCAGGACTCTTACAGATTTATATATATAGAAGATATTCTTATGAAACTGTCAAATTTTATATTTTAATTTCAATTCTATTTTAGATATATATTGAAGTTATAAATGTCATCTTCTGATATTTAATTCAGCCTGTAAATATTGTTTTTCGGATATCCGGTAGGTTGGAGTTGAGAATATCTGCCATAATAATTTACACATTCTTTACAATAATCTTAAAATCTAGAAATAAAAAAAATTAAAAATGACAGGTTCAATTTGTTATTCCAATTAATATTCCATTACGCTCATATGGAATATTTATAAATAAGGTATTTTATAAACGATAATACTTTCAATTTGACTGACATTATCAAAGGGTTGTGACATCTTGAAATTTATTAAATGCTTGTGTTCTAAAAATATAATTTAATCATAAAGAACGTTTCCATCAACAAATCTCTAAATAATAACTGACAAAGAAAAAATAATTGTCATTTTAATATCTTAAGATCTGTTATCGAACAATAAAAATAATTAACCAAATAATGGGTTATTAAATTATTGTAAAGCGCAATGCAGCATCAAATTTCTAATCAAAGTAAAACCTCTGAAGGCGGGTAAGGGGACAAATAACTCACACACTCTTTAAGATGTTTATTTAAATTTAAATGCTTCAAAAAAAGCAGGGGGGCGACATGTTTCGGGACTTAAACAATTCCCATCATCAGGCCCAGAAAGCTGAAAGAATTACAATCAGAATAATGGAAAATTCCATTAATCAAACAGAGGTCAAAATTATAAAATACGATCACAAAACAAATTAAAAAGTTAAATTTTTTTTTAAAAAGTTAAAAGGTTATTTCTATCACAATAATTGTTCAATCACAGTTAAAACCACTGTTTAAAGGCTACCCATACTGGCAAAAGTGGATCTCTACCACCTTAGACAAGGAAAGAGAGTCTACCACTATAAATAACAGAGGTGGCGCCCGAGAGATCTAGATTTACCACTGGGCGTCAATAAGGCTATTTTTCACAGAACTAGAGAAATAGCCTTACAACATTCTATATTCTAGAGCTTGACCTCGCCAAAATTATTATCGATGTCATTACTCAGCCGTTTTTGACGCCGGTTTTTTCGATCGTATGGCATAATTGAATTAGCTTAAACGCTGAGTTAAAATAACAGCTGTAGTTATTGTAAAGTTGGAAAAACTCGTCTAACTATTTTAACAGTGATGTGGACAAAAATTAACTTTTTTTATCTTGTAGATTTCTTCTAGGGGAGAAAACCCCATTTCAAAAAATAAACTCGATTATTATTAGGCATATTGAAATCAATTTCTTAAAATATTGTGCTGAATATACCATTTTCGTATGGATATTATCAAGTTTTTATTTTTTTTATAATCATAATGCAAGTAGCTGCACTAATCTAAGCTTAAGATGTTTAAAATTCTCAAGTATTCCGAGACAAGGGAACCTTAAAAATCGCTTAAGAAAATCATCCGAAGAATTTGTTAGAGATAACTGATATTAAGGAACATAATATTTAATTAGCAACTACCTCTATAATTAGTGCGTGAAATTTTGCAATTAGTGTTATCGGCTTTTCGTAGTGACGCAAACACAAGACCGAAAAACCCTGATGTAAATATTTCGCGTAACATAAAATATTAATACGCTGAAACAGCTATTAACATAAATGTATAAAAATGTGCTAATCTCAAATAAGGCATACTTTAAGAGTTTGTTCTTTTAATATTTGTTGGCTTACTGGTTCCTGGTTGTTCAAAAATTCAGCTCTTAAAAATATAAAAATATCAAGCATTGAAGAGGAAGCAATTAAAAATAATAATTAACTAAGCTCTAATACTCTGCTACCAACTACTACTGCCATTACCCGCTGACGAGTATTTAGCTAGGCGTATCTTTTTATGCGTGCTGTTATCTCTCTTACGCACACCCGACATTCAAAAATCTCATTATTTTGTTGCCTCTTTACTTTTTGGTTGTTGTTATTAACTGAGTTTACAATTTTTCTCCATTCCATTTTATTGTGCGCTGCTTTTTCCCACTCATTTTGCATGTTTATCTCCTTTAGGTTTTCGTGGAAAATATCTTTGTACCTTTTGAGTTGTCCACCCTGTTTCCTCTAACCGTCTACGAACTCACCGTAAAGAAGAGATTTTGGTAGGCGGTTTACTTGCATCCTGCATACGTGACCAGCCCATCTTAAGCGGGACTTAGTAATCATGACTTCAACGCTCTCGCAATTAGCTTTTTCAAGGACCGATACGTTTGAGACATGGTGGAATCATTTGATTCGTAAGAGTTGTTTAAGGTGTCTCTGTTGCAACTTGTTTAATACGTTCATGTGTCGGCGTCCAATACTCTAGCCTTGACTGAAAAACGGACATGTGTCAGTTTTACCCAAGGACTATCAATGCCAATCATAGAGCTAGAACCATTGAGCAGTGCTACAAAATCAGTTACAAGAGTGACCACAAATCAGTGAGTGATCAACAAATTTCTAGAATGTTGTATTCACCCATATCATGTCATTTTATTCCGAATGTTCTTTTTCTATCAAACAATGTAAAAAATACCTGGGGTGCCATTTAAAATCAAAAGTTGTAGTCATTTTGAAACAGGAAGTGGCCAAAAATAATTGAATAGGTACGTCAATCAATCCTGATTTACAACACCCTGTTGCTAACATGCTGAAGCTTAAAAAATGTAAAATAAGCAGTAGATTTATTTTTATACACTAATATTTAGTGACAAAACTTCAATGACTTCAACATACCTCCTGAGTCCTGACAATGAAAATTCGGATCCAAACCTTTTAAGCACATCTTCGTAATTTTCTCCACCTGACCGTTCTGTACATAATCCAAAAATCGCCTCAAATTTGCCCTGGTATGTAAACTTTTCAACTGCTTTTCATCCAACGACACCATCTTGTACACCCTTCTCTTATACTTGAGCTGTAACAACATTTTAATATAAATGTAGTGTAGAAAATTAATTGTAGATGGTTTGGCCCTATTTTTATTCCTGACTGATCATGTCATATTCCTGACTACGTCATGTATAATATTGGGAATCAATAATTTGATATAGGTAATCCAAGATAATCTAAGGATCTAATTCTAAAGCTACAAAGGAACTGGTAATAATGTGCGGATTACAACGGGCTACTTGACAGGATATATGGCTCGCAAGTGCTACTTGAACAAGCACAACCTGTACCAAGGAAGTTTTTGTTGCAAACTCTGCGATAAAGACCCTGAAACAGCAAAGTACATTATGTGCTTTGCTGTTTCAGGGTATGTCATGCGAAGTTCTGGATCACAAGCGGCTTTCTATTTGTGAAAGCAAGATTAGAATCGTAGGAACTATGTTTCCTTCTTGTCAAGGACCTGCACAAGTTAGTGCAGGGTATGGAGATAAAAGAGTGGGTACAGACCATATAGTCTAAGAGCTAGCAACGTTTTTTGAGAAAGTATTTTTAGAAAGCTGGCTCTTTCATATATCTTTTATTGTGCTCTCTGGAACAGCATGCGGCCCGTCTGGCTGCCGATACCCGTTGCGTTCACTACTGCGCATCGGAAGAAGATCCTATTTTTTTTATTTAGTCCTATAAATTCTAGTATTGAATATAAATCGAACATGTCTCCACAGTGGCAGCGCAGCGCGTAGAGTTTCCGACTACGAACCGAGGATTCAGAGTTCGAATCCGGGTCAGGGAAAATTTTTTTTAATTTTATTTTCGTTTATATTTTGATAGATTTAGGTAGTATTAAATAATTCTGGTGATTCAAAAAAAAACAAATATTTAAAACTTTACTATCAGAATATAAACGAAAATAAAATAAAAAAGTTTTTGCCCTGACTCGGATTTGAACTCTGACCACTCGTTTGATAGGGGGACCCTCTACGTGCTGAGCTATGGAGACTCGGTCGGTTTATATTCAATACCAGGATTTAAAGGGCTAATAAAAATAAAGGATCTTCTTTCAATGCGCAGTAGGGAACGCAACGTTACCGGCAGCCAGACGGGCCGCATGCTGTTCCAGAGAGCATAGTAAACGATATATTAAAGAGCCAGCTTTCTTATAATACTTGTTTTCCCGACGTTGCTAGCTCTCGTACTAATAAAGAGGCGACAAACACAACAGGCAGTTACAGGTCGCATTGGTCGCAGTGTTTCCTGCCTAAAACGGACCCTTAATATTAAAAAAATGTTATGGAAATGATTTTAAAACGACCTCACAACTCACAATTTCAAAAAATCTGATAATTTAATTACAATACTCCGTGTCGAATAGCGTGAATAAAGCTTAATTTTCATGCATCCGTTATTCGACGATGCGATGATACGATCAAGAGACTTTGATACGATATCAATTTTATTGGCTGAATTTACTTGATTGGTTAAACAATTACGCATTTTTTAAATTTATTGCATTTTCATGGCTCCGTTCACCGGATATACGATTTGCTTGTGATTGGTGTCATTTTTTAGTTTCATTACCATAAAGATTTCGCTGTTTTACTTATAGTCTAAAAGCTGGCAACGTTTTCGAGAGAGAATTTTAAGAAAGTTGGTTCTTTAATACATCTTCTGCTATGCTCTCCTGAACAGAGTGCAGACCGGTAGACGTTGTGTTTATTACTGCGCATGCCATATCTGTATTCAACATCTGTCCGCTACTGCGCATCGCAAATTTGCCCTGTATTACAGGAACTAAGGAGGTTAGGACAAACCTGTGTGTAGCATATTTAGTTTCATAAAAAAGTAGCAAAGTAATGTGAAAATCGCATCAATCGCATCACACAATCTACTCATAAACGAGAAATCCCATAAACCAAACGAAAACAGGATACATATGTGATGCGCAGTAGTGAACCGCAGTAGTCTACTGGCAGCCAGACGGCCCACACTTTGTCAGGATAGCATAGCTAAAAATATATTAAAGAACCAGCTTTCTTAAAATTCTCGTTTTCTCGACATTCCTAGCTTTTGTACCATTGCGATAAAAAAATTAGAACAAGAATTCATTTTTTCGTAGTCCCAGAAAAACTCCTGGTCTATAAGAATATTTTTAATTTTGGATTTAGCCAACAACACTGTTTTTTTGTTTATCCCTAATGCATCTGCAATGTCCCTTATGGGAACCCCATCCCTTAATCGCCTAAATATAATCGATTTTTGCTCTGAAGTAAAAGGCATTTTTTAAAAATTACGTGACACTGACAGAAGAATTCTGATGACACTGAGCTCTGACATGGCTCTGACACTGAGTTATCAGTTTGAAAGAAAATATTTTATTATAGACCAGCAGATTAAATCATATTTTGTTGTACTACTTTTTTTGATCGCAATGATACCTACTATTATATTTTTATTAAGGTTAGATTAACACATGATAAGATTACATTAGATAATAAGATTACATTTTCGGTTATTTACGAAACACGTTAATTTGCATAGTTTAATCCTAAAACCGCTCAAATGATTTATAGGGGTGTCCCTTACCTCCAGATAGCCCACTGGTCCGTTGAAAGGGTAGTCCCCCAGGCGTCGTTCCTCATCCAGAAACTTCCCTGCGCGGCCATTTTCCGGAGGACAAAACAGGCCGTAGTTGAAGCTCTCCTTCAGCTCCTGCGGGAATCAGAGAGAAAACATGGTTAGTTTTATCAGGTAAAGTTTGCGTATTTGTGGAGTAGGTAGAATAAACGGTCGTATAAACAAGATTTTTACAGACAAGTCGGTAATACAGTGCCAATTAGGGTTTCCAAACAGGGAATCCCGAAATCCCGGGATCCCGGTGTATGATCCCGAAAATTTCGAAAAATTTAAATGAGTAATGTAAAATGATTCGACTTTATATACTTTAGTCTTTCAAAGAAAATACTAAGCAGAAAGCCAATATCTATTTTTTTTTATTTCCCTGTTTGCAATATATTTTTTTGCAATGTTACTTTGTTTTGTCTATTTTAATAGAGTTTTTTTCTTATATTCTTTTTGATGTATGTAGCTGCATTTTTATTAAGTATTTCTATAGCTTAAATTTCTCATTCTGATAGTCAATCCCGGGATTATAGGTTCTTATCGCGAGATTTCAAAAGGGGACCCCGATCCCGAAAATTGGAAACCCTAGTGCTAATAGTAAAAAAACAAGAGTAGACAAGTACTAAAGCATAGTAAAGCTAAATTAGATCAGAGATAATAGTTTATTGTTTTGCAGTTTTGATGATTGTTTGCAGTAAAAATGATACTTTTTTATGGCGAGACTTTCCGTTTAGGTCAGACATTACAGGCGAGCACAAAAAGTCATTTTTACTCTGAATAGAACATGCTATTTTTTTTCAAACATCACAAATAATTTTTTAAACAATTTTATACGTTCCAAATAATAGAAAAAGATTTAAAAGTCATCCCTTGTATGTAATTATATATCCAGAAACTATAGTTACAGGGCTCGTTGAATTTGACGCTATAAATGATGTGAGTTTAATCTTTTGTGCTTAGGCGTAAAAGTGCTTTACTTTTATACCTAGGCGTTAAAATGACTTTTTTATATTGTCAATCACGTCGCAAAAATTAATACTTTTGTGACGTTTGAAAAAAAAATGCTTTGTTTTACGCGTAAAAGTTTAGGAGCTTGTGAATGTAGAAGAAAAAACGATTGTAACAAAATATTTAAAAGAAATTTCGATGATACAGTGACAAGTAGCAAATACAAAATAATAGTTCAAAAACCCCTAGCAAGCAGAACTAAAACCAAAATAGTTAAAATTACGCTGAAACTGCAATTATAACTTGATTAATTACTGGGGAAGTAGATTGAATTTGAATGTTATTTTTTATTCATATTCTTGTGGTTTGGGTTTTAGCTCTTTCATCCAAACATGCTTCTAACAACATACAAAGGAATTGCATAGTTTTAATAGCAATAATTTAGTTACATCTAGAATGTGGTAGAATAAAATAACGTAACAAGATTTTTAAAAGAAATTTTGATAATATAGTGGTATTAATAACTAAAATATATGAGCAAGCAATGCAAGCAAGAACTAAGTCTACAAAATAGTTAACTACAACTTTTGATTTTTTTGAATCGCTTCTGAGACGTACCCGGTATATTGAAAAATATTCCATTAATTTCTTTCTTTAAAGTTTTATGAGCATTAAATTATTAAAAATACTATTTATTTAAAAATTTTCTACGTAGAAAATGTATCTAGTAAAAATATGTTAAAAAAGCAAGACGTGCAAGAGCAATGACAAGGCGTGTAACATTTTTATCGCAAAAGTTAAACAAATTCAAATATTAATGTATTTTCGTCATACTATATTGTTATATTATTATAACATAAGCAAAATCAGAATGGAAAAGATGCATATAACGTCCGCCGGACGTTATCATAACGGCCGGCGGCCGTTAAGTTTCTAAGGTAATCGTAACGTCTGTCACCTGCAACAATGACTATTTATTGTCAGTTGTACTTTTCAAAAATTGGGAAAATAGACCATAGCGAGATGTCGCGAGAAATTCCGTTGGAAATACAGGAGGAAGCGGCTGCGGCTACTCAAAATTTACTTCCGACTATAACCAGAGAGAGATATCAGCAGCTTATTCGTGACGTCATCAACTGGAGGCTTAAACTTTGATTGCATTTGATACACTTCATACGTATATAATGGATATAAACTTTAATTGCACCGAATTTTTAATAAATAATAATTAAACATACAATTTAAAAAACATCAGATTGATATCCCAACTCACATTATCCATGCGATTGTATTTATTTATGCTGTAAGTGTGTCTAAGTTTTTTTTATTTCCTTTTCCAAGTCTATCATTATTTCTTAACAACAGTAGTTTTGCAGAAGGGTATTTCTAATAGAATTTATGACAATTTTTATAATAACTTAGCATTATAAATAGTACATTGCGACAATTTTAATAATAGTGTTATTACTTTTAATGTAATCCAAATATATTTTTGATAAAAATATTTTTATATTGTGAATTTTGAGAAATTCCTCATGGCTTTGCAAAACTTTGTTAAAAATTATATATTCAAATAAAACTATATTAGTTATTTCATCTTTTGGAAACCCAAGACTGCCTTTAGTAAGGTATTTTATAAGCGAATTTTGTTCAATATCAGTGTTGTCTGAAAGTGCTAAATTATTTTTAGGGACATTAATGACTTAATCTTAAGTTTCTTTTCGCCTTCATATAAATATCGAACACAAATACTGTACTCTCCTAGCTAACTGTCTATATTTTCCAAACCTACTTTCAAGTGAATCAGTTTTTGCAAGTTCTCTAGTAAAACATACCTCATATTTTACTCATTAAAACAATATTTTATTACTTCAAGCTCAACCTGTTACTAAACTCAAGTAAATAACTTTAATATTAAACACAGATAAAAGTTAGAAATTTTTTTATCATTTTCATCGAATTTTAAAAAATTTAGTAAATAACAAGCATGACTAATAATTTGATCAGTATTACTATCAGGGTTCGGAAAACTACATGTTACTCTTAAAAACTACATACCCAGGGGTAGGGAGCGTAAAATATCGACAAAATACATAATATATACTATAAAAAATATCTATTTTTTTATTGTTTCTTTTTCTCATATTATACACTATTGTGAACTAAAATATTCCTTTATTAAATTTGATTGATAAAAAGTGAGAGATAAACATTTATTGACTGGTATGATTTTTTCCGTATTCTATTAAAACTATTTTTATACTATAATATTTTTAAAAACTCGGAAAAAGACATTTTAAAACTTCGAAATATATCTGGTGAGTGAAAAAAGATCCACAATTTGAACTTTTATCGGGTAATTATCAACGCTGCTAAATAGAGTTGAGCCTCCACTTGGTGACGTCACGAGATTTTTACGTCACAGCTGTCCGGCCTTGTTATTACGGTGGTTACGGTCAAACACGGCCGGTGAATAAAAATTGATTATAATTTTAGGAACGTCAAGTCAAAGATATCATTTACTTGGCCCGTACTCTTCTTTATTTTCTAATGGTTCTTACTGTTGTAGTAATTTAATTTTATATAAAGGTAAACAACAGTTTTCTTGCAGCTTTTAGTATAAATTACTAAATACAATATTTAGTAATTTAATTTTATATTGAGTAATATAAGTTTTAAATGGTGTATTTTAAAATTCGAGAAAAAAAATATCTTTTTGGAAATAGTTTTGTGTGCCTGAGAACGTTCCATCCTTTTCTAATCTTTCAATAATTAAAGTAAATTTTTGAGTTTTCTGTCAATTTTTTCGATCGTCATTTCTCAGCCGCCTTTGACGCCGTTTTTTTTATCATACTGCATAATTTATAAGATTTGCTGAATAGTAACCTGTAAACAGCTTTTTGAGAACAATTTTTTCAAGTTTAAATTAAAAAATATTTCCTTTTGTTATATATTCTCTATACAGGGTCCGGCAATAGTGCGTCGGGCATCTGTAGCTCCTAAAATAAAAAACTTGGGAATTTTCTTTAAGTGCAAACCTAAAGTATGTACTAGGATGTATTTTAGGAAAATATTTTAACTTTTATAGGGTGGCTCAAAAAAATGTGAGTGGATCGAGATGATTTTTTTTAAATTGAACACCCTGTATATTATTGCATTTTTGGGTTCCTTTCAGATCACTTTACATAATCCTAAGACATGAGTAAATATATTTCGATAATTTCAGAGATATTAATAAATAAATAAAAATTGTATATTTTTCAGCCTTTCTTAAAAAAAATATTAAAAATACAAGAGCTGTTCTGAAAACAAAACTATATTAGATATTTATTTTAGATGGTCTGTTCTTACTTTGCTATAAATATGGTAATCGTAAATCATACAGGGTGCTCAATATTTTACGCCAAACTTTCAAAAATATAAAGTAATTTTTCTTCGTTTTTTTTAAATGGAACACCCTGTATATTATTTTTTTATTTGATTGAGAATTAAAAAATGAACATTTTTTGTATTTAAAGTATTTCAAAATTTTTAATAGTTTTCCGGATACACGCAGTATTATTTCATATGGCGCTTTCAAAGAAATTATTAATAATACAAGAACTGTCTTGAAATCAAAACTATATTAGATATTTACCTTAGATGGTCTGTCCTTACTTTGCTATAAATATGGAAATCGTAAATCATACAGGATGTTCAAAATTCTACGCCAAACTGTCTAAAATATAAAATGATTTTTCTTTGTTTTTTTAAATGGAACACCCTGTATATTATTTCTTCAATAGATGGAGAATTAAAAAATCAACATTTATTGCATTTAGAGTATTTCAAAATTTTTAACGGTTTCGCAGATATTCCCGGTTTTGTATTTCATATGGCATTTTCCACAGTAAATTTTTATCAAAGCCACCCAATGATTTTTCTCTCGTATTTTACCATTGAAAGCGCCATATGAAATAATACTGCGTGTATCCGGAAAACTATTAAAAATTTTGAAATACTTTAAATACAAAAAATGTTCATTTTTTAATTCTCCATCAAATAAAAAATAATATACAGGGTGTTCCATTTAAAAAAAAACCAAGAAAAATTATTTTATATTTTTGAAAGTTTGGCGTAAAATATTGAACATCCTGTATGAT